CCCCAAAACCCCAAAACCCCAAAACCCCAAAACCCCAAAACCCCGAATGACTAAAGTATAGCCAATATATAGGCTTGATTTTAAACACATAAATAAAATTTTTAGTTTATTATAAATTTAAATAATTAAGAAGGATGAGTCTCGGAGGACCAGGTCTTAACGGAATCACAGTAAACACCAAGTATGCTTAAATTTCCATAACATTCTTAGATTCATCTTTGGAGTTAATGGTGACATTAAAAATAACATCTTTTTGCTGGAGGATCATAGAATCCTCTATAGTGCAGGACATAATATCGTTCTATATAACACTGAGGACAAGTCTCAATATTTCTTACCAGGTAAATTTGAATTTTTGCTAATTTTCATAGCTATGGAGCTTACTGAGGGAATCACATGCATTAATGTCTCGGCCAGTAAGAAGTTCCTGGTCATTTGTGAGAAATCTGCCAGAGCTGTTTGGACAGTCTATGAAATTTAAAACCAAAAGGTTAGGAGATCCCTACTTAAGGGAGATCAAGAAAGTCACAGCAGTTACTAATCTAAAGAATTCGTATCTTGCGCTTTCTCCCCTAAGAATGAAAAACACTATTTAATAACGTTGACTGGCGAACCAGATTGGCTATTGTGTCTTTGGAAATGGGACTCCTCAAAAATTAGTGCCTTGATCAATATTGGTCTTCAAGGTCCCTAGCCCTCTCCATCTCTATTCAAATGTTCTTTCAATCCATTCGACAATAATGCTGTGGTGGTAACAGGAGCGAATGTGTACAAGTACTATAAGATCAAAGATCTAAATGAGTTTATCGCTGATCACACTCAGCTTAACAACAAAGATAGACAAATTTCTACCTAATACAGTTGCCATGCCTGGATGCAATATGATACTGGAAGGCTTATAGTTTGCACTGAGAATGGAGAAATTATGCTTTGCGAGACTAGTGGAGAATTTATGGCTTATATCCACGACTCACCAGGGGAGAACTGCAAGATCTAAACTATAGTTCCATTCACAAGAGGCTTCATAATTGGCTGTGAAAATGGAGTCATTCTCGCTTATGAAAGGTAGGAGGACCCAAGATATCCATACAAAAAAATCAAGAATATGGATGCCAAGCTTGACCCATCACAGTCATTCTAGCTTACTCAGTTCCCAATTACTTCAATGACATTAACATCTACTGAAGATCTTATTTACTTCATTACTGAGAACAGACAACTTCTCAAAGTAAATATAGCCCTTGATGGAACTGATGATATTCCAAAATATGACTATGTCATATGCAATTTTCACTCTGACGTGGTAACAGGTCTTGACTTATGCATCAGAAAGACCTTGATTGTTACATGCAGCAAGGACAAAACTGTTAGAATTTGGAATTATGCTACAAGAAGTTTAGAGATAGTCCACTAAGTACCAGAACAAGCTCTATCAGTAGCTTTTCACCCAAGTGGATTCCATATAATCATAGGTTTGGACGATAAAATTTTGATGATGAATGTCCTATCAAAGTCTTTGAATCAAATTAAGCAAGTTCAAATTAAATCTTGCAGAGAGATCAGATTCAGTAATGGTGGACATCTATTTGCAGCTGCATTCTTGACTAATGCTGTTCATGTTTACAATTTCTACACTGGAGAATGCCCATCTTATTACTAATGCAAAGGTCATGTCAACAAAGTTAGAAGTATAGATTGGTTCGAAGATGATATGGGCTTTACATCTTGTGGAATGGATGGTAATGTCTACTTCTATGACTTGATCATTCAAAAAGAGAACTAACAAAGACTCAGTGACAAAGACTTCAATTAAAAGAGTGTCTAAATGTCTTGCGTTGTTAACATTCCAGGAAAGCCATATGAGGTATATTGTGTGGGTAATGACAAGAAAGTTTGGCACTCCAAAGATCCAAAAACAGGATTTGATGCTCAAGTGGTAATCTCCCAAATCTGTTTAACAGGTAACATGAGAGCTCTGTTTGCCGGAGTTGGTGATGATACTCGACCGGGTGCTGTGCATATTTACAGTCTTCCACTTAATAAGATAAATGAGGTGCAAGCTCATAGCAAACCAATTGAAAGAATGAAATTGAGCTTTGATAACAACTATCTTTTTACTGGTGGTCAAGATGGTCTCCTAGTTATTCATGACATCAAGGATAGAGATCCCAGAGGAGGAGCTAAAAGAGAAAGAGATGGTCTAGGGTTGCCATTTTCAGATGAGATCTTGACAGAGAAGACTGAAATAGATAACTTTTTAACTGAAAAGGAGGGTCTCGAAAATGACTTTAATAATGCCAACTAGCCAGACAGTGTTGAAAAGATTATGAAAGTCAAGCGTTTAGAGGACACTATCTTAAAGTTGTAAGAAGAGCTTTCTAACTCTCAGGTCCAAGCAAAGAACAGATATGACTCCTTGAATGAAAACAAAAGAGAGATGGAAAATGCCTTTGAAGAGAAAATCAAATAACTTGCCGAGTAGTTCCAGATTGAACTTGAGGAAAAGAGAAATGAATACTCACAAAAAATGCTTGAGGATGCTGCAAAATTCCAAGAATTGCAAGCTTAAAAAGAGGAAGATGCTCGTAAATTTGAAGAGACAATTAATGACATTATTAATAAGCACAACAAGAATGTTGCCACCATTATGGAGTAACACAGAACATTGATGGAAGGCCAGATTGCATAAACTGAACAACTTAGAAGAGAAATTGAAAGAATGCAAGAAGACAACAGAGAAATCATCAAGCAAATTATGGATGATGCAGATTACGAAATCACAGACATCAACAACAAGAATACCTAAAATTAGACTTAAGTTCAAGATATGAGTCTCAAATCAAAAGCTGAACTTTAATTGACTAGGAATAAGCACATGGACTTAGAGTCAGATATTGAAAAGCTAAAAAGAGACATTTAAGATAAGGAAACTTAACTTGGTAATCAAACCCAGACACTAACAAAACTTAGAGCGGAAATCTAGACTCAAGCTACTGAAATCAGAGAGAAAGATACAGCTATCGGTGAGAGAGAAAAGAAAATCTATCAACTTAAAAAGAAAACCTAAGAATTAGAGAAATTCAAATTCGTACTGGATTACAAGATCAAGGAACTGAAGAGAGATATTGCACCAAGAGAAATGGAGATCACAAGACTTAAGAAAGAAACTAATGAAATGGATAAGAATCTAAAGCACTACAATAAGATCAATGCTAATCTAGGTTACATTGTCGATGATCTCAGAACCAGATAAGAGCATATGTAGGAACTGATCAAGAAGAATCGTAGCAAGATAAGATCAAATGACATCTACATTAAGGGCTTTAAAAATGCTGTCTACAGGGTGGTCTAATTTATAGACGATTTTGAATAGCTAAAACGTGCAGTGAACGAAAATCTTTACCCATATGTTAAAGACTAAGAGATTAAAAATGTTGAGATCGACCCAGATATTAAAAAAGAATATGAAAATCAAAAGAGATATTTGGAAAATTCTGTCAACAGTTTGAAGAAGAGACTTGAAAAGGAAACTCAAATCCATAAAGAGGTAAATATATTAAAATTTCATTGTTGTAAATTAGGACAATAACAATATCATGAAAGAAAACATGGAATTGATCAATCAGATATCAGAGCTGAGAAAAGAAGTTAAGACTTTAAACAGTAAACTCAGAAATCAGGATTGTAAGATTAATTAGATTAAATTAACCGTTATAGCAAAACTTTTGAACTCCGGATCAGAGTCTAAACTTGAAGATCCGAACTAGCAAAATCACATGAACAACTTGAACCAATCTCGTGACAGCTTTGAAGAAACTGGACTCCAAACTAAGGAACTTCACATCAAGAGATAGTATATCGAGGAATTGAGGAGAAAACTTAACGCCTTGGTAGATGAGAATAGATATCTTAAGGGAGATATTGGAAACAACTAAAATGCTAATGAAGGACTTGAAGAATGAAGAATTATATTGATTGAGAATCGACCTACTCAATTAATTATAATGCTAGAAATCACAAGCATAATAATGATTTAACCCAAACCTGAAAACTTTGATAATAACATAAATATACTTGAGATTTTATTCTTTATTTCATAACTTCAGCGATTCACCTCTCTAGGGGTTTTGGGGTTTTGGGGTTTTGGGGTTTTGGGG